AGAACTAGTGGCTCACAGGCATAATCAATCACTGCACTCTCCTTGATTTCAGAAGCAGTGGTATAATCATCTCCTTCTGCTCACAGCCCTCTACACAGTTACTATCAAAAGAACAAAGTTGGTATGAAGAATAAAATCAATTTGCCATTCTTGCTTTATATACTGTCTCACATACAAATAGAGGGAGAGTTTTATTTAAGGAAGGCTTTCTCTTTATTAAAGTAATCGATCTATGATGAACCATAGGTAAATTATTATTACTAGTAAGGTTACTTATAGAAATTTTTCTTAAAACTATTAATTGATTTAAATAAAAGTTAAGGCACCTGTAAAGGCACAATGTGGTTTACACACTACATCTTTCAGAGGCCTATGGTTCTACAGAGGTAAGCAACTCAGGGAAGGCAGTGTCAGCTGGCCCCACACCCCAGTTTCAACTGGAACAATTTTGCTTTTTATCTGTTCTATCTTTAGAACAAGGGTTCTTCATAAAATTTCATTTAGGGGTAAAGGAGTTTCTACTGCCAAATATTGATAGTGAAATGAATAACTATTCATTTTGATACTTGGAATTCACGAAAGTATTATAGGCCCAGTCTTTCAAAACATTCAAAAATCCCATTTTTCTCTAATCAAGGAGAAAAAGTGCTACTACTCTGTACTAAATCAGTTACTAAAAGCTACTGGGTAACCTAGAGTATACTAATTGACTACATGACGCTCCAGTTACTATAGCAAACATTAATAATTCCAACTAGAAGACTATGACTAAGATTAATTAGGTCGCAACTTTAGTGTCTGTCCTGATTAATTCCTCCTCCTTCTAGTTACACTGGCTACTCCTTCCTCCAAGTATAGGCTAAAAGCTGATTATTTATAATCCCTAAAGAAAAGTCTTTAAAATGGCAGGGTAGAGCACAATAAATGGAAAGTCATCAAAACAGACTATCAGTCAACCCATGGTCCGTGGAAATATCTACCAAATATTATAGCAATCCTACTTTAACATCACCCAGAGCTAAAAAGCACTAATGGACAAAAATTATGATGAGGCCCTGGGGCAGTTTAGCTATAATTCTAAAATTAAAAATAACAATGGGAGAATAGTTAAGAGCATTATGTAGTACAACTCAATGGAATAGTATATAACCAATAACTACAAATATTATGAGGCAACAAGGGAAAGATTTTATGAAATCTTAAATATTTAGTAAGGTTACAAATAATTATTCCTACGACTATATAAAACATGTATATATGTAATAAGATATGTAGGACTGAAGTTAAAAGTCAGCATCGTGAGTGAAATTTTTTCTTCTTTAAAATTTTCGAAGAAGGGAGTAGTAGAAGCTCAAGAGAGAAGAGATACCAAGAAACAGAATGAGAAAGGCTCAGGACAGGTGAGAATCCATACAAAGATTTAGAAAGGATCAGATATTCAAAGAAAGAGAGTAAGATGGGTAGAAACTCAATGAAAGAGGGGTATATAAACTCAGAGAAAGAGGTTGAGAGATCCATACAGGAAACAGCCAACTGGGGGGAGTGGGGCGGGGGGGTCAGCGAGACAGCCAGCCAGCCAGCTAGCCATACACCAGTTAACAAGAGAAAGTAAATCTGAGGGGTGACATAGACCAAAGGAGACGGAGTGAAGCCCAGAGACAGAAAGATAGAGACCCAGAGCCCAGAGTGAAAGGGGTCAGGAACCCAGACAGTAGAGAGAGACTGAAGAGAAAGGGGAGAAAAGACTTGGAAGAATAAAAATGATAGAGAGAGAGATGATGATGATGAAAGGATTACAAAATGTTCCCATATACACTTGAATTCATCCATGGAACCTAACCAAGTCTTTCATCCCTATAATCCTGAAACTCTGAATCCTTCTCTTTCTTATCCTTACAATGTCCCTAGCTTGATCCCCTAATTCCCTCCTCAAGCCACCTTTAGGCTCGTGTTCTTAAAATTGATCTGCTGGAGCTTCCCTTGAGCTCTCTGAAACTCCAAAAAGAAACTCCTCATGGAGTTACAAGCCCCGGTGTCTTCACAGAGGTTTTTTTTTTTTTTTTTTACTTTCCTGCCCTAGACAAAACCTGGATCCTACCCGAAGATACTGGTTTCCTTACAGCTCTCTCAAACAAAGACTGCTCTCATCCTTCAACATATTCTAAGACCAGATGGCAATACTGGCAAACCGCTGGCTCTTTGCTGTCCTGACCTCAAACAACATCCCCTCTGTCCCTCCTTCCCAAACTCCTGAGAGCTCTACCACATGGCTATATATCCTATCTACCCAACCTTGTCAATGTCATCCCTTCATTTAGCGTGCAACCCCCAACTATGAAGTCATACTATACCTGTCCACTGGGCATCTCTATTTGCATGTCTCAGAGGCATCTCAAACTATTAACTTATTATTTCCTCCCCCCAAACTCTTCTAATATATGCACACAGGCATTACATATGTTTCTGTTAGTAAAATACCTACCTAATATAAGACTGTCACAATTAAAAGAAATTGTCTTTAAGGATTTGTAAGATTCATAAGACATTTAGATCTCTTTCTAAACAGCAGTTCTGAGTTTATACGCTGTAACTTACTCTTGGAGAGTCATAACTGATAATAACAAACCTCAGCTCTGAACCCTAGAGCAGAACCCGTCCCATATGGGACGTATTAGTTTATTACCTGGTCTCATGGTGATAGGTTGGTCCTGCCAGAACAATTTTGAAAAAAGGAAGTGGATATCATGAATAGGCCAAAAAGAAATTGTCTTTTTGGCAGCTGGAATATTATGGTTTCCTGAGCCTGTGTATTTCTGCTATCTTCAGAAAACCTTCCTTTTCTTGGATAAGGAAGGATCATTATTTTCGGCAATACATCATAACTTTTCTTTGTTTTTTGTTTTTTTGTTTTTTTGTTTTTAATGGAGCTATCCAAAATTAAAAGGTGTATTTTTTTCACTTTGTAAAATTTACAATCCTCAAGAGAAAGTTCTGAGATAATTAATATATTAAAAAGTATATCCCTTTTTTATAATAGACAAAGGTTCACTGTCCTGGTTAATCTCCCTTTAGTACTTCTCAATTGCTCTTTATCTGTAAGACTGTTTAAGATAAATAAGTAGTACTGAACAGCAGCAGGGAGGAAAATCATCCTCTGGGATTTACTGATAACAGTCAGTTCACTGTCACTCCAAAGGCAGGTTTAAGTGAGGAGGGTAGACTGTGATGCAGGTTTCCACAAAGCAAAACTAGACATGTAAGCCTTTAGGTGCTGCCACAAATAGAGCCTTACATTCAAAAGGTTTGATATTTTCCCCTTTCTGCCTTTTATCTTCATAAGAGTTAAATAAGGTGATATTTGTAAAGCACTAAAACAGCACCTGGCATACAGGGAAAACAATATAAATTAAGTAGTTAAGAGAAAAATGTTTAGGGCTTTGTAAGGAGACTTTTACAAATGAATCTGAATGCGATCCAGTGATTCATGGAACAAATAATTCTGACCTTTACTTTCCTCCCTAGGGTATTATAATGTCTAGTATCTAATAACAAAAAGTCATGAGGATGCAAAATTCCATTATAAGAGTGCTGTGAACATAACAGATGCTCCATAATTTTATTTGAGAAAGGACAGGAAAAAGTAAAGATATGCCAAAACAGATAAGATTAAAGATATAACAGGCAATTTACTAGGTTAAAAAGAAAACCTAGCATGAACCAACTAATTGGCTTTAGAAACAAAAGAGCTCAAACACTTATGAGGGTTTAAAGTCCCTAATACAAGCAACATGTAAACTTAAGAAGGAATGGAGGCACCTGAAAAACAAATGTCACTAAAGGGCCAATGTAGTTGTCAAAACATTACCTATGACACACTGAACACCACACACACACACACACACACACACACACACACACACACACACACACAATTATATCTGTAGGTATGTATATCACAATCCTGACTTAATATATAGGTACCTTCCCATATAACAGGCTCTGTCATGAAAAAAAAATTTCTAAGGAAATAATCTAAATAAAATTTAATGAAAAATAATTAAACACTGGTACACTGAAAAATAGTATGTGAAGGAAAAAGAACACTGGGCTAGAAATCAAGAGACGTTATGGATTTAAGGACTTATGATAGTATGTACATGATATCTGAGGTCTGAAATATCAAATTAACTTATTCGAAGTCATATTTATTTAGCCAAAAAGATTAAGTGGTTTGTTACTGACCCTGCCCCCCGACCTCAAACCAATAAGGGAAAAATTTAAAGAAAAGATTGGATGCTGGAAGAAGGGACAATGAACAGACAGAAAGAAAAGACCACAGTAAAACAGAAGAAACTGATTTTCTATGCTTCCAAGTCCAGCGAGCACAGTAACATTAATTCTTACATCTTCTGAAGATAAAGACTGATGGGGAAGGGAAAGGGGGGGATTCACAGCATAAAGTCTTCTTTAATTATCCTTTGCTTTCACAGACTTAAATGATATCATAAATAGTGATCCCTTTTAACAAGCTCTGAAATACTCCACATTCTCTAACTTTTCCCTAGCTAAGGATAGGTTAAACTTTCCTCCAATGTTTAAGTCTTTTTCTGGTCCTACCGAAGTCCTCCTACTTCCCTTTCCCCTTCGATACGTCAACTTAACAAAACATCATCATTTTCCTCCCTCCAATAAACAAGTGAACTAACTAACACGGTGCTCCAGAAGCACATAAGGAAAGTTTAATATATAGATTTAAAAAAAAGAACTGACAGATTTAAAAAAAGAAAAGAAGAAAATGATTAAAAATTCATTCCCTTTATCATTTCATTAACATTTTCCTGATATAACTAATGATAATCAATGAGCTCAGAATCACTAGGGCCTGTGAAATTCTCTTCCATTCAATTAGCAAAACTGATTCACTTGGGGGAGGAAGGAATATTTCTATTAGAATGAGAAGTCTATAACAATATACAGTATATGCTTTCTGCATGACTTACCTTCTCACCACTTGAGTAGAAGAAATAACGCAATCGGACTATGTTACAGTGATCTAGCTTTCTCATGATTTGGAGCTCTCGGTTCTGAAAAGGAAACACAAAAATATTTTTTAAGGATAACTGCTACTCATCATATTGACTAATGCTTCTAAAATAACATAAAACACTACAAACAGCCAACTATAGATATGTTACTAAAAAGTATGGTCAACAGACCAGTGCTGACCTGTAAACTATTCATTACTAGTCCATGAACTATTTACTACTGCTCTGCAAATAAAATTGAAAATAAGTTTTTAGAATTTTTTATAGCAACTTGACAGAACAATTTTACATCAATAAATCTTATAATAATAAAAGGCGGGGCCTATCCTTTGTATTTCTTAAAATTTCACTTTTTTAGTAGTTCATTTGTATTGTTATTTTATAAAAATATCAGTCCTTGATGAATTGGAAAATTTTAAAAATGGTACTTTACCACAAACAGTTTGAGAAGCACTGGTCTATAAGAGATATCTAAAATGAACTATTAGTACTATAATTTTTACAACTGTAATAAAAATCAACTTTTCACCAAACAAATAAATTTGGGTGCTAAGAAAACTCTTACAAGCCCTATTGTGTTCTAAGATACAGTGAAAAATCCGAGCATTCACCCCATTAGAAGGGCTCGGTTGCTAAGTTTTAGAGAGTTAAAACATGATATACTAGAAACTTTATAGTCTGATAAATTTATAGACCACACAAATAATTTCCCCCTTGGGGAGTTTCAAAGTTATGTATATTCTTCATGAAAAGAAAAAATTAAATAATATAATAACCTCCTAACACTGTAAATTTTACAGTAACACATTTAAAAAGTATATATTAACAAAGAAGATAAATTCCATCAATACACCTGGGTTATCAGAAATCAGTCAATAAAGGCCAAATTACACAACACAGAGAAAGAACACTAAAATATCAGCTGGTGGGCAGAAAATATAAAATTTCAGTTAAAATAATGATTTAGAAGAGCTACAAAACATATATACTTGGGAATCAGGAAGGTTATGCTGTTAAGGTTAGAGGAAAAAAGGCCAAAAAAAGAAGAGTAGGGGATGCATAGAGGATGATGAATCGAATAAGCAGAACTATAGTAGAGCGGAGTGGGCTCCAGTTCTTAGAAGATGGTACCAGAAATAAGCAAATGTTCCTCTTCTAGAAACTTCCAATACGCTATATGATTTTTCTAACATGTCCTCTCAGGGAAACAGGAAACTCAAGAGGAGTCTCCTTCTGTCCCTTTAAACTGACCATGAAAGCTGGGCTTATATATACAGTGATATTTAAAATTCTTTATAAAATATCAACCATTCATTCTATTAATTGTTATAAAATGTTTATACCTGAAGCAATAAACAAACTTAGTGTAGTATAATTGCTGTAACAAAGATAACTGAAGTCAGACTCTAAGTTTTGACTGTTGTAGAGAAGTACCCAGAAAACTTTAACAATTTCAAAACTGTTTCCATTTCCATTTCAAATTAAAGCTATTTCTGGAAGTATATCTATAGTTTATGAATTCTCATCTAGGTAGCTGGTCTTGAGAGAGAACCGCTAGTAAGCTAAGACTCATTCCTCTAATGATATACAGATACTATGATTGACTGTTTTTTTTTAAACATAGTCAACAACTATGTTAAATAAGCTATTTTTCCAGACTCATTAACCAAAGTAACAGAGAACTATTAAATTCCCAGATAATAGAAGTTGTATAAAAAGAATACATAAGTGATGCCAAGTATATGGACCTAAATATTCATCTACCCTTACTCTTCTGTTCATATTATTTTCTTTTAAAAAGGTTTAAGTTTTTTCATTTTAAAATTTCCTAAAAGATTCAAAACATAAACTTTATAGAGCAATATTTATAAGTTATTAAGCAATCCAATATAGACAAAGTTCATGCCTGAGATGTATTTAAATATACAACTATTCCAAGCCTACACATTTTTGCTGAGTCGATCTTTATTAGTTCACTAAGGACTAATACAAAGGAGGTAAAATCTGAACACAAACCTGAATGACACAAATATGAGAACCACATGAAGATATAGGGGAAGAGCACCGTAGTTATAGGAAACTCTAAATGTAAATGCCCAGGGGTGGGCTTGGCATATTCAAGAGATAGCTCTTAGGATAATGCAGAATGATAAGTGAACAGAGAGAGAGGGAGATAAGTTCAGAGAGGTAGGCAGTGGGTGGGGTATGTCATATAAACTCATTATAAGTTAACTGAATTTCACACCAAATGTAAAGGAAAGCCAATGAGGTTTGACCAGGAAAATGATATAATTTGATTCGCCTTTTTAAAAGATCATTCTAAAACTGACAGAATAAATTTGAAGAAGAGAGTGGATCAGGAGTTCTATTTTCTACCTACTAAGTTTAAAATCCTTATCAGATATCCAATGAAAATACTGAGGCTCAATGTAGAAGATGGGGCTAAAAGTATTCATCTGGGGGTCAGCTGCACTTTGGGGATTTAAAGCAAGGGAGTCAATGGTATCTATCACCTAGGTAAGAAGTTTAAATTTAAAAAAAAAAATCATAGGTATAAAAAGGAGTTTACCACACAGAGGAGCTAATAAAGTAAAATGCAAAACATAAGAGACTGTTATTTTAGAGGCCAAGTAAAAAAAGAGTTTTCAGAAAAGAGGAGTGACCATTTACGTCAAAAGCTGCTGAAAGGTTAATGAAGATGAAAACAGAAAACTGGCATTTGAGTATGGCAAAGACAGGATCCTTCTGACTCTTACAACAGTGATTTCAGTAGAAAAAATATGACAAAAAGCATGACTAGGGTGAATTAAAATGGGGCCGGGAGACAGGGGAAAGGACTATGAAGTTAGAAAGTTCAAAAAGAGGCGAGATTTCCAGCTACAGTGGAATGAAGAGATTGACAAATTCACTCCCCCGAAACATCAATAAAAAGGACTACATTGTAGAAAACAACCATTTCAGGATTGACTCTGGGTAGACATAACTGTTGGACTTAGCAGACAAGAATAAAAAGCAGCTATTAGGTACAAAGAATGTAAAAACAGTAAAAATTCTAGAAGAAAATAGAGAGAGTAAGCTTCTTGATAATGGTCTTGGCAATGATTTTTTAGATTTGACACTAAAAGCAAAGGTGTTAAAAGCAAAAATAAAGTGGGAGTCCATCAAACTAAAAAGGTTATGCACAGCAAAGAAGACCATCAACAAAATGAAAAGGCAATCTTATTGAATGGGAGAATATATTTGCAAATCATGTCTGATAAGGGGTTAAGATGCAAAATACACATATAATTCATATAACTCAATAGCCAAAAAAAAAAAAAAAAAAAAAAGTCTATAGCCATGCTACCCTGAACAAGCTCGATCCCGTCTGATGTCGGAAGCTAAGCAGGGTCGGGCCTAGTTAGTAGTTGGATGGGAGATCACCTAGGAAGACCAAGTGCTGTAGGCGTAAAAAATAAAAAAATAAGGGATTGTAAGATGACAAGGTCCTTGCAATCTATGAGGTCAACTAAGGGTTGCCTTGCCTAAAAAGTAAAAAAATAAAAAAGCCCACAAAGAGGCCAATTAAAAAAACAGGCAAAAGACCCAAATAGAACACATATGAATAGCCAACAGGTACAGGAAAAAATGCTCAACATCCTACTCCTCAAAGAGCTGCAAATCAAGACAATGAGACACCATGTCACATCTATTAGAATGACTACTGTTAAAAAGAAAAGAGATAATGTGTTGGTGAGGATGTGGAGAGAAGAAAACCCTTATGTACTGTTAGTGGGAATGTAAATTGTTGCTGCTATTATGGAAAACAGTACGGAGGTTCCTCAAAGTATTAAAAAGAGAACTACCATCTGATCTAGCAATGACACTTCTAGGTATATATCCAAAGGAAATGAAATCGCTGTCTTGAAGAGCTACTCCCATGTTCACTGCAGCATTATTCAGAATAGCCAAGACATGGAAACAACTTGTCTATCAACAAATGAATGGATAAAGAAAATATGGGGTATGTATGTATACAGTCACATGTCACTTGACAGGAATACATTCTGAGAAATGCATCTTTAGGTGATTTTGTCATTGTGCAAACATCAGAGTATACTTACACAAACATAGATGGTAGCCCTATGGCTGTAATTTTGTGGACTATACTTTTATATAACTGGCAGTATACTGTTTGTTTACACCAGTATCACCACAAACACTCAAATATTGCATTGTGCCATGACATCACTAGAAAACTTTCAGCTCCATTATAATTTTATGAGACCATTGTCATACATGCAGTCCCTCATTGACCAAAATGTAATTTGAGGCACATGACTGTGTGTGTGTGTGTGTGTGTGTGTGTGTGTGTGTGTGAATATTATTCGACCATGAGAAATAGGACATCCTGCTATTTGCAATAACATGGGAAGAACTTGAAGGCATTATGCTAAGTGAAATAAGAAAAACAGAAAGACAAGTACTGTATGATATCATTTCTCTGAGGAATCTAAAAAAGCTGAATTCATACAAACAAACTAAAAGGGGCGGTTACCAAGGGTCGGGGATGGGGAAAGGGGAGATGTTAGTCAAAGAGTACAAAATTCTAGTTATAACAATGAATAAGTTCTGGGGATCTTATGTACAGTATGGTGACTACATATATGGTGACTATAGTTCATAATATTGTATTGTACATTTGTAAGTTGCTAAGTGAGTAGGTCTTAAATGTTCTCATCACAAAAAAGAAATGGTAATTACAAGATGTGACATGTTAGCTAATGCTATAGTGATAATCATTTTTGCAACATGTAAGTGCATCAAATCAACATGTTGTATACTTTAAACTTACATAATGTTACATGTCAACTGTATCACAGTAAAGCTGGGAAAAAATTTAATACAGAATTATATAAATAATTATGTTCAAAGAATTAAAGAAAATCCTAATTTTTAAAATTAAAGAAAAATACGATGACAATTACATAACAAATAGATCATTTCAATTAAGAAATACTAACTTTTAAAACTTGGAAATACTAGAGTTGAAAAGTATA